GGGGGGGGGGGGTAGGGGGTTGCTACGGGTGCCTGACCGAAGTATGAAATGGGAGAGAGGGGGAGGGACAAGTAAACCGGAAAGGGACAGCGCCACCGCCGTGCAGGAGCAGGCGGTATCAGGACAGAGGGTATGCTCGGGCACGGTAGGGGTAAGGTTGGAGCGGAAGGAGTTCTCTTTTACCGTTCGTGCCCCCTCCGCACCCTCCAGGCCAGTGACTCTCCCTTCCATGATTGATGGTCTGGCGCAAAGAGGCATTTCCACCAGATCGTGCGGGAGAGGGGCGGAGGAGAGGCAGAGGGGTACCCAAAGTACCCACGCGTACCTAGCAGCTTGGAAGGCGCTGAGACAGCGGCCGCGCCCCGGGAGCTCTGCTCTCACCCCCACCCACTCTACCATACGGAAAGGGGCGGGCGAGGGTGGGGGAGGGGGGGGCACCCCTTCCACTGCCTCGCCGCGCGCATCCTACTAGAAGCACATACTCTCCCCGCTGAGTCGCAGGTCCAGAGAGGAATAACACACATCGCACACATAATACCCATCGTGCAAGACCGTCGCGGCGACGAAACAAGGGACTGCAAAGTAATGGTAATAAAAACACTGCTTGGCAGTTAAACTAATTTTTTGTCATGGCCAACGCCTGAAAGTACCCTCCTCCCACCACGCCGCCGCGCCGCTCGCTTTGGCCCTGACAGCAGCGTGGCGCTGACAAAGAGATAAACTACAGAATTCCAACAACAGCAGCAGCAGCATAGGCCCGGCGCTAATTTCGTTAATTGGGTGCTTTTCTGATGGGTTGGTAGAGGGTCCTCTACTCCACGCCCCTGTTCGAGGGGGTTCGAGGGGGTTTGAGGGTGCAAGTGAAGGGGGGAGGAGAAGAGGAGGGTAGGGGGTGGATGGCGGTTCTGGACCTACGCCAAAGCCCACGGATGGTGTAGGGGGTGTGAAGAAAGGCAAAGCGAAGGCCAGGCCTTTTCGGGGCCCGCCGCGGACATGCGGTGCGGTGGGCGGGGAGCGGCAAGGAGCGGAAAGTAGGGAGGTTGTTGCTGCCCCGCGGCCTACGCCACTGGCGTCATCCGTCCCCGCACCGCCAGGGCCAGGCAGGAGAGTGTGCGGCTCAGGTGGAGCACACGGCCATTACCTCGTCATCCCCTCCTCCTGCTGCCGCCCATCGCCGCCCCCTCACGGGACGTTATTGTGATTAGGGGGGGCGTCCGGTGGCGTCCGACCCCGCGGCGGCCGCGGCGCAGCAGCAGGGAGCGCCCGTGGGTGACCGACCGGCATCCCCGACATCCTGGCAGCAATTTACGACAGTTGGCTGCCTCTCCTCTTAACGCCTCAAGGTCGCCCCGACCTGAGCGAGAGCGGGCCCGGACCCCGCGGCGGCCAACGGCGGCGGCCAACGGCGGCGGCCTTCAGATTCATCCCCTTCCCCCTCTCCCCCGTAAATAAAACTGTCATTAAAAGGGCGCCCGTTTGAACGGCGAGCGCGGCCGAGGCCCGGCAGGGTACCTAACGACGCCCCCATCATCAGGGCGGCAGCACTTTACTGATAAAAGGTGAACGCAGTTAATTTGGGTCTCGGCTGGAGCAGAGCGTCGTTTTCGTGGCGACGCAGGAAACGAGAGGCCTCGCAATGCACGAAATAAGGCAAATGACAATAATGCACCTTTAAGAGCACAGAGTCACCACCAAACCCTTGAGGGTTATTCCCACAGAACCACCTATATTGTCATATTGCAAGTATTGCTACATATTGCAACAACCAAAGACAAAAGACATAAAAATCTTTGTCTCTGTTCCTACAAACTAAATTCCAGTACTGTAACTACAACCTATGGACCACTATATGCAAGACTAGTTTAGTTCAAAATTGAACAGCAATTGTCACATACGTGGTTGATTGAAACGATATTGTATCCAAATGAATGAAACTCACAAAGGTTGAAATTCAATAACAGCATTGTCTTCTGTGATTTACAATGCACCAGAGTTGAAAACCACTGTTCATTATTAAAGCCACAAAACGTTTAAGTGTAATAGTAGACTAAGTTTGATGGCTAATTGCCCAAATTGCAACGACAGAGAGCATCACAAATGTCACCAGTCAACTCAAGTGAAGATCCAATAAACTGATCTCAACACTATCAAATTCTGAATGCTATGCACATAAGTACTTCTGAGAATTTGGCAACAAAGAATCATCAGAGGACAGAACTTAGTATTACTAATTTACACGTAACAGAGAATGTGGCGCTGAATAACCTGTCTCAGCATCAAAAATATTCACTGACCTGTACAGATCTCAAATCCGTCTCCCTTGGAACGGCAACATTGACTGTTTTTCTGACTCCGTCTCATCTTTAGCAAAGTAGTTCGGAAACATGACCTCACTTCTCCTATGTTACGTCAATGCCTTGGACCACACGAAATTTAATGAAATAATCCTGAAATAAGGTGAAAAACAACAAAGTAGGGTTACGTATACCAGACAAAAATCAGCCCCAGGAAAGTTAAAAACATTACCACACATGTGAGGTTGATGAGTACAGTACCTACACTTTAATGTGAATTTGTCCTGTACGAACGTCGTTTCGGCAAAGTGCGAGCGCGTGCAACTGCAACATTTTGACTGCTACCTGACCTCTACACAAGAGTCTACTCCCCTCGAAACAGAAAAGGAAGCCAGAATAAGTTGCTAGGTTAGGGGACATTTATCAAAAACTGAACAATCACAGCAATATTATGGTTAGAATGAATGATTAGGAGTTCGTATGAAGGTGTATATCATAAAACGCACACACAATACCTGTAGTAAATCCGACGAAAAAATATTTCCGTAAGCTGCTCTGAGGCGTGAAGTCTTCATCCGCTCTTGACCTTGACATGAGCAGGAAGAAGGGAAGAAAGCAAATGACAACCGGAAACAGTGCCAACATCTCATTAGCGTGGATTTTAATACTGGTTCCGGTCATTCCTTACGGTTGGAAGCTGCTTTTCCCAAGCAAGCATAGACATCGCCAACACCAACGACTACGTACTCTCGCGACCGCGCGAGACCCCGCGAGATAGCAGGGCGCGGGGGCCGCGGCCGCGGGTCGTCACGGTCGTCATCAACACGACGACGTTCAGATCAGCGGCGGCTCACGACTTACCGCACAGAGGAGGAAAATCGACTGCAGAACAATGCGGTGGTGAATGTGGTGCAGCCTTGTGACGAGGCCACTGCATCCTTTCGGCATGAGATTCCTCGGTCGGTCTGGACGACCCAGGTTACCATCTAGGCGGACTCGCTACTCCAGTTAAGGTACCAATTCTCATCAGTTAGGGAAAGTGCCATCAAGGTCCAGGAGGGGAGGGGAGGGGGGCGGGTCGCCTGCTCTGCGGAAAAATTCAGAGGCTGAAGAGGGGACGGGGAGGTGAAGCATACCGTCCGGGAGTAAGGTGAGGGGTGAGGGGGTGCGGGTAGGGGGTTGAATTTCATCACCTGCGATTGCATCGCCATGTCCAATCATCCACCTTGTGTCCAATGTTTCCATCATGGCTGCGGCCGCTACACGCGGTGTATGTATGTGTGTGTATGTATGTGTGTGTGTGTGTGTGTGTGTGTGTGTGTGTATGCGTGTGTGTGTGTGTGCAGTAAAAGGCGATGGCCCTGATGGGGCTGCCAGCACGGCGACGAGGCGAGGCGCGGCCACTGCTGAGGGGAGGATAGGGGTAGGCGACTGCCGCCCGCTGCCGCTTTCAGGACCCAGCGCGCGGGGGCGAGTAGACGGAACGAAAAAATAAAAGCAAAGGGGCGATAAAACAAAACGCGGCGGACACGGTAACGGCGGCAGACAGGCGGGCGGACAGGAAGTAACGACGTCCATAACACCGCCCCCGCAGTGTTGCCAATCTCCGCGCCGTCTCATTGCAGATCGCATTCGAATCAGGGGGGCGGGGTCGAGCGGGGTGGTGTGCGGTCACTCGCACGACGCGAGTAGAATGAGAAAGGGAACGACGAAATATTGTTATTTCACCGCTTTTCCTCGCGCCAGTTAATAAGATGGCCAACCCGCCCCCATGTTATACGAGTCCCCCTCCTCC